GAATGTGCTGTCGTGACACGGCTAAATTATTCAAACAAGGCAACGCCCCGGATGTTGGGTAATTACGTCTTGTGTGCACTAAGCTGCAAACGACCCGCCCTCCCGGCTGGCCAGGCTGGCTCCCGGCCGGTACCGACCCGCCCTCCCGGCTGACCGGGCTGGCTTCCGGCCGGTACCGACCCGCCCTCCCGTCTGGCCGGCTGGCTCCCGGCCGGTACCGACCCGCCCTCCCGGCTGGCCAGGCTGGCTTCCGGCCGGTACCGACCCGCCCTCCCGGCTGGCCGGCTGGCTCCCGGCCGGTACCGACCCGCCCTCCCGGCTGGCCGGGCTGGCTCCAGGCCGGTGCCGACCCGCCCTCCCGGCTGGCTGGGCTGACTCCCGGCCGGTACCGACCCGCCCTCCCGGCTGACTGGGCTGACTCCCGGCCGGTACCGACCCGCCCTCCCGGCTGACCGGGCTGGCTCCCGGCCGCAGTTGCCGCTCACTGGCCAATGGGAGGCCCGGTGCCGACAGAGGCTTGGCTTCCGGCGCCAGCGTGTCGAGACTCTGTAGTGGCTGCTGCCGTCCTGGCCTGGTGCACTGTCGGCCTCGGTCGTCTGCGCCTCGCCAGCTGCTCGCTTCTCGATCGGTAAATAGTGGTGTCGTGCGACATAGGACTCCAAACTTAGTCCGACGGCCCCGGCTTGAGAATGTGGTTGGACAGATGTGGCAGCTGCAGTATCCACAGGTGACATTTTTGCACATTTTCTTTGTGAAGTTGTTTTCCAAAAACGCACGATTTTACGATTGTAGCGCTGCTTCCGTGGAAGCTGCTCGCTCTAGCAGCCTTGTGACATCCACTTTCCTTCACATTCTCCATATGAACGTTTCGGCTCAGGGCCGTCATGAGACACGACAGCTGATAACCCCGGGCCGGGACGTTAATTCCGTCCAATGTATGTTTTATGTTCAGTGTGCTAACCAGAGTCTCGTGGGGGCCATGCTGCGAGCTGATTACCATCACGGATTGTGCCAGGAACTACGACTGACTGTTGCATATTTTTTTAGTCTCAAAGGAAGTTGTGGCATGCCCGCGTACATTAGTTGGTGAAGCGTTGGATTCGCGAAGGGTGGCAGCTAGTTTTGATTCGCATCGTAAAAACTGCGCTTGCGTGACTTTTTTTGACGTTCAGTTCACTAACTGGCCAAAAGAAACGGGTTAAAATGCGTGACCGCGTCGCGGTACTGTCACGTTAAAGTCATTCGATAAAAGCATGTTGCTGCAATTTGTGGGGCTTTTCTTTGTGAGATCACTTTCAGGACCTTGCCATAAAATTATTCTTAAGGCTGGTCGCAAGGCCGTCTCTGCGCGACGTGAGCCATGCCTGTAAAAAATCGCCGATGGTATTTATGCACATCTTCATATATTTGTTTGCCCATACGGCGGCTTCGTTTGCCAGCCGTTCACGTCGTAGGCGTTACTATGTCTGCAAAGCTTTTTTGCGACTTGTGTTCCGACCACGACCCATTACAGGGCAACCGGGAGTGCCCCTCCCACTATTCCAGTGACATCAGAAAACAGCAGAGGAAGTCGCGGCACTTCCTGCCAAGAACTGAATCTTACTAAAAGAACGTAGGGAGCAAATCAGGGTCAGTGTTGGACATGCATGGAGGAGTATGAAGGAAGGCTGACATTAGTCAACTAAAATTAGCATTTGACTGTCCGTTAATGACTCCCCGGAGGTCCACTGTTCATACATGCATTCAGGTAGTAAAGGACGCCATTGGCACGGAATGGAGAGACTACCTGTTCGAAACGTCTAAATCCTGTGCTGTCTCTTCAAGAAAGTCCACCTACCGAAGCAAAGGTTGCTGCTGGGTCGGTGGACACCATTTATATCATGGACTTTCATACTGAGATAGCACCAGCGTATGCCGGTATTGCCATGCTGTCATGCTGTAGCGGCCTAGTGCTGCGAGGTGGTCACAGGAGCGTGGGTGAACAAAGTCGCAAACCGTCTGCATTTGTCGGGGTTGGAGCAACCGTCTTGATTCTTCGACCACGTGTGTTCTGATTGGTCTACGGAACCTTTAAATAGCCAGGCTGGAAACTTCATGATGCGGATGCTTGACACTTGCTCCTTTGAAGCTCTTGGTAATCTCATCGACGACTGGCTTTATTGATGGCGAGAGCGTCACGCCACCTGTCACCGTTTTGACACAATGCACGCGAGGGCGAGCTGTGACGCGTCCGGGCCGGCGGTATGGGAGCAGACACTCCGCACTGGACGGTGGCACGGCCGGAGAAGCGCGCCCCACTGGGCGGCGTCGCCGGCCGTCGAGCGCCACCGGCCGTGACGCCGCCAGTCCGGTCACGTCTGCCGGCCTCGGTCGGCGGCTGGTAGGCGGCCGGCGTCAGGGGCTAAATTGGGACGACTGTGTATGGCGCCAAGCTCATCATACTTCAGCCCATGCAATATACCAGAATTGTGCAGACGTGGCGCCAAGGGCTGTACGCTATGCACGTCGTGTTTGGCCTCGTGACGCGCACATTATTTGGGCGCAGACCGCGAGCACTAAAACACCATCTCTTGTGCTTGGCATGTTGGTGAAGGCCGGCGCACGCATATTCCAAGCCTATGTCTTTCACATGTGAATGTTTTCCGAAAAATAATTAACTTTAACGGTAACAGTTAACGGTAGTAACGGTAACGGTGCATTAACACGGATGGTTTCGAGCTTAGAATGTCTGCTAAGCACAGCTTGTTGCGTGTACACTGAACCCCCCTCACAAGTTGTGCCGTCCAGTTCAGCGAATTTGGCCTCTGCTCTTTCGCCGGGCAAGACTGCGGAGGGTTTTACGTGCCGCATAAGGCCGTGGCATTGATTTTTAGTGCTGCCTTTCCACATGCAGCAGCCTCAGCTACAACGATCTGGTGAGGCTCGGTGGACACAAGCCTCCGGAAGTGAATAAGCTTATGTTGCCTTACATGCGTTGGGACTGAATGAATTTTTTTTCTAGAATCTTAGCTTTACCTCGTTTTACGTAACATGAATTTATCATTGTCTGTGGCGCTTAATGCTTTCATTGCACATGTGAACTGGCCATGGCACATGTGGGCATCCCCGTTTGCCCTGTCCTCGACGATGGTGGTATCACGGATACCACGTGATCGTTTCCGGTGGGTTTGCCGGTCGCGAAGGTCCACACGTGGTCGGGGCACCGCATACCCTTGGCATGTTGAGGCCCTGACGTCTTCTGCCTGCCGGGGCCAGGGCAGCGGCGACCGCATGTGGCGGCGAGGGTCTGTGTGGACCGGGAGAGGGCGTGGGCTGTCTTTGCTCCGCACAGCGTGGTCTGCTCCGTACAGCGTTGTCTGCCTCACACAGCGTTGTATGCCCCGCACAGCGTGGTTTGCCTACCTGCCGTTGGCAGTGCCGGCACGCCGTCTTCCCCCGGGAACGTTCGATATTTGCCCCACACAGCGTGGGTTGGGACCAATTTTAACAGGTTGACTGGGGAGGAGGAGAGAGGATATCCCCACCAGTGACCGCCAAATCCCCTTTAATAACCAGTGCGCGATTGCCCCCCCTCCCCCCAGTGAAAACATTGCCCTGACAAGAGGTCGCGCCAGATCAGGTTGTTGTCACGCTTCAGAGAGAGTGCGAAGAGCATTGTCTGTTTTGAGGCAGCTATTTACCAACACAAAAGGAAGAAACAAGCAGGTAATGAGTGCATAGCTTTTTGAAATGTCTGACAGGTTTCAAGTCACGTCAACCGGAATTCAATTGGTCCAGATGGGTGCAACTGTAACGGTGAGGGATATCACCAGTAATCACTCTTCAGCTTTGGCGAATCCGGCTGAGCGACGCTTTAAAAAGGCAGGGCGGCGCAGCAGGGGTGGGGAGAGGCAAGAGCATGTATTTGCTTCCCCCTAATTCCTGGGAGACCCCTTTTCTCAACTAAGTGCACTTTATCTTCAGGCAGAATACCGAAATTAAGACAAAGACGGCCTAAAACTAAGGCAGCGATTAATAAGTCAAGCTCAAGATCCTTCGCCACATCAAGAGATCCGTTTTCTGGGTCCTGAGGTCACCTTTGTGAATAAGGCAGCCAGTGCTCTAGAGCAGGAAGCCAAATGTTGTGTTAAAGGGCAAGTATACCACCTTGTATATACCACGTTTGAGGCCTATTTATATATACCACGTTTATATAAGACCTTATATATACCACCTTATACCTTATATATGACCTTATATATACCACCTATCAGACCTTATATATACCACGTTTGGGGCATATTTAAATAGTATGCGTAAGTGGAACGTCCGAATTGGTTGTCTTATAATAGTAATGAGTAGTACCACTGCAGCATCGCCAAGACTTAGTAAGGATATGCATTTTATTTATTTTCAAATTACGCTGTCAACCCTCTGAAACAGTACTACGGTTTTCCCCCGCAGTTAGTATCACGTCGTCATGACAACCACCTTGCCATCTCTTCTGTGCGAATAAAAGAACGTTCGTGATTGGCCCAGTGGGCAAGGGCCAGTTACCAAGAACTTGGTTGTTTACAGTTTTAACCAGTGCGCGTCACATGAATCATGTGATACTCGCATTCTCAAGCCCAAAGTGCCCCCCGAAATGGAACACTGGTAAACGCCACAGGGGAGAGAGCAAACCCATGATACAAGGTGTCGTTGAAACTCGCGGGATAGAATCTTCGTATTCCCACATGTTTTTGTCTAAACAGAGCGTTTCAAGCTCTCGCAGCACGTATTACACAGACAAGGTTGACGTATCAGTGCGTGCAAACATAACAGAACGCAAAACATTGGAAAAGCCAAGGCAAATTGGATACACCACCTTTATAATGGTGAGTTACGGAGTCAGATGAGATTTCTCCGCAGGGTCTGTGGATTTCCGAGAAAGCTGGTACTACTGATTAAGTGGCACGCGTCTTTGCTTGCAACGATGCTTTAGAGCGCACAGAAGAGAGGCGGAGCTCTATGCAAGAAGATACTTGTTGCCCGGTCGGGAGGTCCCCGCTACAAACTGGGAGGCCCCTATGCCGGTTTGGGACCGCCCTCTGCTGGAACAGAAGGCCCTGTTTAGCCTAGCGGGACCCTTTGCTGGATTGTTACAAAGCCTCTATTCTCTGTTTTTTAATTGTCAACATTTTTTTCGGATATTATACTGGTAGCAGTTTGGTAAGGAAGCACATGCCCTCGGTGCCCCTCCCGTTGAATACGACGCCGCACGGGAGACCCTCGTGCAAGTGGACATAGTTGATCCGTGGGTGACGACGTTGATAAGCCACACGTTCCATGCGTGTATACCTCTGGTGTGAAGATCACAATTGTTTGTGTTTGGCTTTGACTTGTTTCAAAATCACCACGCCTTTTGGAATGTTTTGGATTTTGTTGATGGTTGGTTGGAAACGTCCATAACCCATACGTTGCAATGCCTTTTCCCCGGAATATCGACTACAGCGCTTCGATTCTTGTGCTTTTATTAAGGTCCGAGTAACCAAAGGTGTTTTTGGCGTACCACTAGCTAACAATGAACAACT